CACATTTCTACCATCCAAAAACTGACACATGGCTTATACAATCTCACATTTAAATTCAGACAAACAGATCAATTTCCCTGAAAGCAGCGTTTGTTTGGTACCAAACAGAGAATCCCAACCCTAATTTGGTATTAAGCTTTTGTTTTCAAGTTGGAAAACATAATAATAAGATCATATAATCCTGTGCAAAGGTTAAAAAGGAACAAAGTAGGCGAGTACTTCACTCCTTAATGTGTGTGCCTATATTTGTAGGGGCTCATCATAGGGGTTCATCCATGGTTTGGGGATTTAGAGGAGTAGGGGAAGGGGGGCTGCACTACCTGTGGACAGGCAGATGCAGCCCGTTGAGGGGGGGTAAGGGCGGGTGGTACTCCAGCTGAGCCAGGAGGGAAAAGTGATCGGAAGGGATGTGTGGGTGGGGGCAGCCCGTTATGCTGTTGTCCTTCAGCCACTGAGTCTCCAGTGGACCCAGAACACCCAGAACACGCATGTGTGTCTTAGAGAAGAAAATGTAGTCAATCACACCCTACAAAAAAGGAGAAAGCATGTTTTAAAAGAGGGTAAACAAAAATCTGTGACAATAATCTAAATTCAGGAGCCAGCAGCAGCCTTATATTGCACTGGTTTCTGGGCAATACAATAACGAAGCATGTCGTGGTTCACTCAATTTGTGAAACCTAAATATCTCCTGACCTTGAAGTCATAAGTGTAGTTGGTGTAGGGCATGAGATTCCCCTCATAGGCACTCTTCAGCTGGAAACTGTGCGTGATACTGCCATCGGGCTTTCCATTTTTGCTGTTGCAACTGAAGTTGGTTAGACAATCGCTGTAACGCAGTTCCTTAAAGTCTTTGTGATTTTCTGCAACTCCACCATTACTCAGATACTCCACCACACCTGTGAAGAAAGGCCAGGAAACCAAGTAATGCTAAGACAAGAGCTTCATGCCGAATCTGAGGCAAACATAAAAGAAGATATTTTGAGAAATGTCTCAGTGGGTTTTTTTGTCCACACAATGGAAGTCCTGCATTCTTTAAAATATCTTCTTTTGTGTTCCACAGAAAGTCATACAGATTTGAAACAACACGAGGATTAGTAAATGTCAATGATGACAGAATTTTCATTTTTGGATGAACCATTACTTTAATATTGCAGCAGGTGGACATAGTCGCTTATCCTATATAAGGAACGGAAAGGCGAACTGCATGCCATCCACTTCATGGGCGCTATATTATGGCTTGCTTTCTTGCTTGGAGCTCTTGAACTCATTTTAGTTGGAACTTTCACAATAAAGATTGCCCAAGTGAGTTCCCCATTCCCTCTAACTATTTATTCTTAATAAGCAGTTCCAAACATTGCTCACCAGAGTCTGGAAGCGAGTTGAGGTCAGCGCACAGGACGATAGGGATGGAGCTGATGTCTGACGTGGGTGATGCAGAGTTGATGGATCCCGATGCCCTCTCAGCGATGCTCTTTAGCTCAGACAGGAACATCATAGTCTGGATGAGCTTCACATCCGAGTACTCCGGATCCCAGTGCATGTGGGCGTTAGCTACCAGCAGGAGCTGTTTCTCTGAAGGCTGCTTTAGACCTGCATTATAACACCAGTAAAATGAATGGGAGCTGTAACAATATTGAAGATTGATTCGAGGGGGAAAAAAAGAAGAATATGCTGAGAAAGAAGAAATAAAGCAAAACTCATCAAAAAGTGTGTATGCTGTATTCAGCTGTTTTGAGGCATCATGAAGGAAATAGAAAGTATGATATCACTGAAATCCAACCTAGCACTGAATTCAACCATAGAAGCCATTCATTTTATTTATCAGAGCACCACATTGCTTATAACTAACTTGGCTTACAATTTTTTTTATTTGATTTCATTTACTTACAGCTGCATCTGCAACTTATTTCTGCAAGGGCCACATAATTTCCCCTTTCTTTAATGGGGGGCCGGGTTAGTTTGTAACAGAAAATTACATGGGCCGGAGTGACTACTAGTATTATTGTGGAGATTTTTTTATGATTTTAAATGTATTTATTATGCCTCCTAATGCTAGAATAGTTTATTTTGTTATGCACCGTACAGACAAATGATTACTCATCAAGAGACATATAGCCTATTAAAAAAGCATTGTTATTACTATCATGACATTTTTTCATATTCAGTGTTATTCAAAATCAAAACATTTACTTATGCATATTAATTAGTGTGAACTGTGGGTTTGCTTCTGGCTAGTGAGAAGTCCAATGTCAGGTTTCATTCCTGTCACAGCCAGTCTCAAAGACTGATGCAAATGTTCATC